ATGTAATAGGGTCCTTCCTCAAGGGGATCTGGCCGCCCCTTCATTCACATTTACACATGTGGGTGTGTAAACTAATTCAAGTCTGCAAATTGATTGAGAAGCCACGAGTGTGTATTCTGGCAATTCAATCTAGGCTGTTGTTCACATGACCTAGAATTACTCTGTCTATACAGATCAAGTTAAGTATTTAGTAGGTTTGCCATGTATTTCACTACTAGGAACATCATGACTAAGTAGTCAATGCCATAATTCCACACAAGTCAGAGTATTCTAATCACTGTTCTGACTCTGCTGTCAATTACGGTAACCACACCTTAATTAACTGCTGTCACTTGGCCCCTGCTTCCACAGAGTCCAATCAGCCCCATCGTAGTTAAATGTCTTATTTCAATTAGTGCAGTTCCCACTGTCAAATTGGGCTTACATAAAACGGTAATCACAGCAGTCTTCAAGAATGTTGAGTCTCCCTTCACAAATTTATTCCTCACCATACTGGTGAAAGGCGCGTCTTCTGGACTCTGCATTTCTGACTCTAGGTGTCTAATGTGATAAATCCACTATAATAGGCCAGTTACCCTAAACCTTGGATACCTTCTTGTACATTATACCAATGCAGGTTTGGTAACTCAACTTGACTTAAGGTAGGCCGCTGCATACTCCATGCTTCAGTAAGCCAACCAAATAAACAATTACTTGTTGACCTTGGTTTTCTCACCCTCAGCAGCCAGCAGATGGCTGAGTGAAGAAATGCCTCCAGTTTCAGTGACCTAGAGTAGGTGGCAGTGTTGAAGACAAAGGTTAAGTGGCTTTCACCTATCCTCTAGGGTCTGGCACTTTGCACTGTTTTCAAGCCTGCAAAACTCTAAGAATAATCTAAGAATAAACAAACATTCATCTATAGGTGGATACACAGGTAGACAGCCTGAATGATCTGGTAAGTCTAGAAAAAAGGGAATATACCCATGACCATCTGTAAGTTTTAAAATGGTATTTCTATGTAAGTATTTAAATGTACTGTAAGAATTTCCAGTAACACATCAGAGTTTTTCACTGATATTCACGCCATGGTATTTTAACTTGCCTCATATGCATGTGAAAGCTGGGCAAGGAATAAGGAACACTGAAGAAAGGTTGATGCTTCTGAGCTGTGGCATTTGTGAAGAATACTGAAAGTACCATGGCTTTCCAAAACAACAAACAAATCTGTCCTGGCCTAAGTGCAGCCGGAATGATCCTTGGAAGTAGGATTGGCCAGACTTTGTCTCATCTACTTTGGTCAGGTTGTCAGAAGGGACCATCCCATTGGAGGATATCAATCTTGGTAACGTGGAGGGTCAGTGAAAAAGGGGAACGCCCTCAAGGAGATGAAATAACATAGTGGATGTGATGGGCTCAGATATCTCAGGGATTCTGAGGCTGGTGCAGGACTAGGCAGTGTTTTGCTCTGCTGTACACAGGATCACTCAGTTGGAACTGACTGGACAGCACCTAAGAGCAACATAAGAATTTCCATGTGTATAATCTACCTCACTGGGGACAAAGGTATAACAACTTCTTAGCCATAGCCAAAAAGTTTGAGTGAGTCACTGGGCCTACAGGCTATGGACCAGGGGTGTTGGCGACATCAACTTGAATTGGGCAAACATAGTATATATACAAAAACTGTGCTACATCCTACTTTGGTGAGTAGCACATGGGGTCTCAAAAGCTTACAAGTGGCCATCTAATATGCAAAAATCAGTCCTTCCTATTCCAGAGCAAAGAATGATGAAAAACAAAGTCACATGGAAACAATTAGTCCAAGCGACTAGTAGACCATGCAAACCTCACTCTACAGGATCCTGAGATCAGAAGAACTAGATGGTACTCAGTTACCACTGTCAACTACTCAAAAAAGTGATCAATGTAGGAGATCCTGGATATAGCGGGAGAAAAATGTGCTACAAAAAATCATGAAGACCAGGCTTGCTGCTCTGATAGAGATCGGTGAAACCCCTGAGACTATGGCATATGGTTACCCTTTGAGCCAGGAAATGAACTCAGTACTGTGGCTTCCCTCTAGACAATGGACAGAACGACAAGGTGAACAATTATACAAGGGAGGTACATTCCTTACAACAGTCAAACATGGGAGATCAGAAGGGCAGCAACTGCAGAGACGTATCTCAGATGGCAGGATTGCATAGGAAAGAATTTGCTCTGTAAACTTTCAGCCAAATCACAACAGACAAAAAATCATTAATTAAAAATAAAGAAAATGAGCCTTTCCTCACTTTATATTCCATTTCTTCTACAATGTGTCTGCAGGTTTCAAACAAGAACTTAGGAGGAGAGGAAAGATGGTGGCACAGATAATAGCTTCCTCATGAACCCCCACCACAATGACAATAAAGAAAAACCTGTGTAAACAGAAATCTTGGGCATCTGGTCACCAACAGAATTGGATAAATAGGCTAAACACCAAATGGGAGAGCTGAAGCTGGTACCACAGCGAGGTCAGGATTCATTGACCATCCACACCCAACTCACTGTTTGGGTCAATGGGACCATGTTGAGATGGCCCAAGGAGACAGGAGCTTTCTTCCTAATTTCCAGAAATCCCAGGGGCTGGAGCTAAACATGGCTCATAATGCAACAGGCCTGAAAGGAGTGACAAGATGGGCAAAGCAAACAAAGGAATGAGTAGAACTGAGGGAGGGACACAGGAGAGCAGCACAGCTCTGAGTCTCAGGAAACACAGGAAAATATAGACCGAGGACAATGGAGTGAAGTGGTCTTGGGGAATTCATCAAAAGATGATGAAAGGACCAGAATGTGGCCTCCTCGGGAGGGATACAAGGGTAGGGAACAGTGCAGATGTGGGTAGTAATGGGTTAACACTAGGAAGAGGAAACAGGATAACTTAAAGCAGTATGATAGCACCTCACTGGCAAAAACCAAGGCACTCCTTCACGGCCAACTGATAAATGGCAGATCATCTGCTGGTTTCAAACTGCTGACCTTTTGTTAAACAATGAAGAACTTAACAACTCTGCCAGGAGGACTCCCACGAGAAATAAGCATAATGAAAGCCCATATCTTTGTTCATAAAAAAAAATCATTCTCTAATAAAAAGAACGAGAATTTCTTGGAGAAATTCTGATTGAGGCACTAAAACAGGAAATGGAAAAAGGAGTCTTGGACACTGTCTGAAAGTATACAAATTTTAATGGTGATATGAAAACAAACAAAAAATACAGGAATATACTTAAAGGCGCTCATAATGACCAAATCTTGGACAATATGTGCAAGAAAAGAAGAAAAAATGCAATATAGATTAGACTTTATGAGTAGTGCCCAGCTAAGAAATGTCCACTTTATCTAATAAAACTCACCACCATCAAGTTTCTAAAAAATTAAGATCAAGTCCTACAAGCATTCAAATCACACATTTCCTGCTCACTAGTGACACACTGCTTGTGGTTTGCTCTCATTGCTCAGAGCCAGGATGAGGCCACCATGTAAGACAATGTGACACATGCAGCTGTGCAGAAGCGGGTTCCATTCTTTTCAATTCCCTTATACTCTCACACCTGACCCATTCCAGGGTGGCCTTGCATAGGTGCACCCAATTTGGGTGGTCTCCTGGCCGACTCAAGCTGAGGGTGGGAGCAGGTGTACCAACAGAGAATCCTATGAAACTGTAAAGATTAAAATAGCAAACAAGTGTCATTTGTGACAAGCATCAAAAAATTATTATTACTATATACAATATCCTATATACTGCTATAGTGTAACTGGAAATGTTTCTTTAATATTTTTTGTACATAGATAAGCACACTATATACTAAGACAAACATTTAACTGATGGTAGCTATGCAGTAACTGCTTCAACTTACATACACATTAAATTATTAAAAAAGAGTTACTAAACCCAATTGTAATGCAGGCATTGCCTGTACCGTAACTGTTATAAACTATTAAATGCATAAGGAAAGGAGAGAAAAGGGAAAGGTATTGCTTACAGAATTCTAATGAGTACACATAGAAGCAAGTGAATAGAAAGTACAGGTTGATAAACACAATAGCAATAATACAAATGAGTTATTATGGATGTTAAAATTAGAAAGCAAGGTACAATGAAAAACAGAGCATTTGCAGTCCTAAAGTACCATCCAATGTAAAACTTAGTATAAAGGATAAAATAGTTCATTTTACAACAGGCAACATGGGAAGGAAACATGTTACATTTTAAAATAAATTAGTACTCTTCAACCAAATCAATATGAGTATTGAATCATATGCTAAATAACATCAATTAAAACATGAAACATATAAAAATACATTTGCTCAAGACTATTCCCTGTACCCTTTTTAGTAATACCCAAAGACTATTAAGAAAGCCAAAATTTAACTTGGATTGAGAAAGTAACAAACATGGATGAGGATAGTCCCACAGTTACAGTAAAACAATTATTTACCCAAAGGCGCAAAGCAGTGGTAAAACTAAAAAAATCACTGCCTTCGAGTATAAACCAACTCCTAGTGACTCCCATTGGGTTTCTGCATCTGAGAATTTTTACAAAAGTAGACACCCCCATCTTCCTTCCAGGGAGCAACTAAGAGGTTTGAACCACCAACATTCTGGTTAACAGTAAAATGACTTGGGCACTGTGCCGCTAGAGCTCCTAGTTCTATTCTGAGTGAGTATTACTTTCCAATTCATTGAAAAACTTTGTTCTTTAAGTGTAGACTGGTTGTTTGGAACTGGAATACCAAGGAGGAAACATGCCAACATTCACACAAAGTAAATTCTCAACTGTGAGGTCCTATATGTTAAGTGAGTTGTGAGGGAAAATGACAGTCTTTTCCACATCCTTATATTCATAAGGACTCCCTCCACTGTGAACCTGCATATGGATAGTGAAATCTGAAGCTTCACTGAAGGCTTTTGCACATTCCTTATATCCATAAGTACCCTCACCATTGTGAACATGCATATGTAAAGTGAGATGACAGGCCTGGCTGAAGGCTTTCCCACATTCCTTACATTCATAAGGCTTCTCACCACTGTGAACTTGCATATGTAAAGTGAGATTAGAGGCCTGAGTGAAGGCTTTCCCACATTCCTTACATTCATAATGCCCCTCTCCTCTGTGAATTCGCATATGTGCATTGAGGGATGGGGCTTGAATAAAGGCTTTCCCACATTCCTTACATTCATAAGGCCCTTCTCCACTGTGAGTTCTCATGTGGTGGGAAAGACAATAGGAACGACTAAAGGTTTTCCCACAGGCCTTACATTCATAAAGCCTCTCTTCACTTGGAGTTCTTATATGGTGGATAAGATATGAGGAACGTCTAAAGGCTTTCCCACATTCCTTACATTGATAATACATCTTTGTATTGTGAGTTCTTCTATGCATATTGAGTGTTGAGGGGTAACTGAAGGCTTTTCCACATTCTTCACATTCATAAGGCTTAAACCCATTGTGACTATTGACATGTCGAGTAAGGGATGATGAACAATTAAAGGCTTTGCCACACTCCTTACATTTAAAAGGCTTTTCTGTACTATGGGTTCTTATATGTGCATTGAGACATGAGGCCTGTGTAAAGGCTCTCCCACATTCTTTACATTCAAAGGGCCTCTCTCCACTGTGAATTCTCGTATGTGTAGGGAGGTGTGAAGGCTGTTTAAATGTTTTTCCACATTCCTTACACTTATAGGGCCTCTCTCCACTGTGAGTCCTTCTATGTCTAGAGAGTTGTGAGGGCTGAATAAAGGCTTTCCCACATTCTTTACACTGATATGGCCTCTCTCCAGTGTGAATTCTTCGATGTCTAGAGAGCTGTGAGGATTGACTAAATGTTTTCCCACATACCTTGCACTCATAGGGCCTCTCTCCGGTGTGAGTTCTTCTATGTCTAGAGAGCTCTGAGGGCTGAATAAATGCTTTCCCACAATCCTTACAATCATATGGCCTGACCGCACTGTGAGTTCTTCTATGTCTAGAGAGCTGTGAGGGAAGACTAAATGTCTTCCCACATTCATTACATTCAAAAGGCTCATCTCCCTTATGAAATTTTTTACGAAAAATCAGAGGTGATGGATGACTACTGATGTTACAATATTCTTTACATTCACGTTCATGACCTCGCACATGTGTCCAAAAGGATGAAAAACCACAGAAATCTTTCCCACATTCGTTACATTTATAGGGTTTCTCCTCAGTGAGTGCTGTCACAGGATTCTTGAAAGATGACATACACACAAATTCCTTCCCGCATATAATACATTCATGGGGTTTCTTTACATTGATAGTTCTCACAGGAGTGGGTAGGTGGGAGGGACAATTGCAGGCTTCTCCACATTCCTTACACTGACAAGGATTGCATTCACCGTGTGATCTGGTATCATGCTTATGAGATGACTGATCCACGAAGACTTTTCCACACTCACAGCACTGAAAAGGATTTACTTCTGGAGGATTTCTTTGTAAAAGAGTAAGATCTGGAATCCAGCTGAAACTCTTTCCACACTGCTTCTCTTCATGACTTTCACAGAGGTTCTCTACTGCATGACTGCTGTTAAAAATAAGAAACATGTTGTTGGAAATGAATTTATTGTCATTCCATGTACCAAACCGTGAATGAGCATGGTTTTTGCCCTGATCTCTCTCATGTTTCATAGGTTAATTTATCTAACAGAAATATTACTATTCCTGTCACTGTTTTTCTAATATAAGAGACTTTCTGGTAATTGTGTCCAAATGAAATGTGCTAAAAATAGTTAAATTTTATCTCACATTTATGAAAATGTTTCATTGTAAAACATCTCTAAACAAATAATTTCATAGCTAGTTTTACACCCACATATATATAGAAAGCTCTGATGGCATAGTGGTTAAGGAATTTAGATGTCAAGCAAAAGGTCAGTGGTTTGAAGCCACCAGCCACCCAACAGAAGAAAGATGGGGCGGTCTGCTTCTGTAAAGATTTACAGTCTTAGAAACCAAGGGCGGTTGCTATGAGTTGGAACAGACTTGATGCCCATGAGGTATGATATGTGTGTGTATATATATATACATAAAAGGTCTTTGAAATGGTTTGGCACAGTTCTGCAATGGCTAGTCTAAAGGAGGCCAGCGTACACACTGCATAGCAATGAAATCTATGCCTGGTCAGACTGTGACCTGAGTGGGAAACAACAGCAATAACTCTCTCCAAGATGGCATCCAACTGTGCTGCTTTGAATGTGTGTCACCCTCCATAGCCCTGCCAGTAATCCAATCTCCTGCACCAGGGCCTTGAAACTTTCAGGATCAGTGACGGACTTGGACAGTTGCAAACAACGTGGAGAGTGACACTCATTCAAAGCAGCATATTTTGCCATATATTTCACCAAGTTTCCACAGGTGGTTTCCTACTGAGGTCAAAATCCAATTGACAACAGATTTGGTGACTATGCAACACATACGCTGCCCTTGTTTAAGCTGGCAATTGCTCAACTGCTACAACATGGATCAAAGTCCAGTTATACTCACATAAGTACTCATATGTGGTATTTTATCGTTGTGACAGCTTATGATTTTCTCCGGAGGCTCTGTATTTTCATTTGAATAATACTCACCTCAAATGTTTCCCAGGGTTTTTATGCTGATCTTTATTGCCATGCAAGTCAGAGATTTCAACTAACATGGAGGACCAGCAGTTATTGTCCTTGACTTCCACCAAGACACGATCACTGCATAAGTTTACTCCATCAGTAAGAGAGACTGACCCAAATAAGTCAAGTTGAGGTTCACAGCATGAAACAAAAGAAGTAAGTAATTAGGGAAAGAAAGTTTGCTGCAAAAAAAAGTAAGACTTAGCCACATTTCATAGTTTCAGAACTTTGGCAATGGTTAAAAAGCTATTTAATAGGAAAAACTTCCATGAGGTCTGAGGGTAATGATGACATCAATAGGTATAATTAGGAGAGCAAAGTAGAAGATATTGGACACAAAACACATATAACATCATAGGAGGAAAAGGGCCAGCATGACCACAGGTGAGAGAAGATGCCCGAACCAGAAAACTAACCTCAGGTATCTGAACTTGAGTCCTCACACAGGAACAGACTTCTTCTAGCTAACTGCTTGCAATGTAATTCCCTCCACAGAGAGCTGTTCCTTTGAAAAATTCTTCCTTTTCTGGTGCCTGCAGACACAGTGGCCCTCAATGTGTCCTATCTCAACTTTTCTCAGATTTTTCCCTGCCTTCTCTGGGATAAAAAATGGGGAGAGTTGACTTGGGGCCCATGGAGAAATGTGTATCATGAGGGAAGGAAATGAAAAACAATGAACATTTCGATGTCACTGAACCAACAGTGTGCCCTTCAAGTTCTCTGAAGATGGACCGCTTTGAGGTTATCTAGAGCAAAATAATCACATCAAACAGGGACCAAATCATAAATCTCTCCATGCCCCAAAGTGACCTCTGAAGCAAATGATCACACTCAATAAAATGTAAAGAGCCTCAAGGCTTTAAATTACAAGAGAAATGAAAGGTCACTTTAACATATAGAGCTTTATATTCCTGTGGACACCAGGAAACATGAGCTCCACAGGCCAACGGGCCATGCCCATCTTATTTAACATTTCTCAGCCCAAACACTGAAGCAAAGCGTATAAGTAATTTGTGATCCCAAAGAGAATAAGTAAAATTTTAAAAATGCCACTCTTACCTACTGAGGCCAGGTTTCCCAAGGTTTCTATCATGACATCTGTGTAGAGTTTCTTCTGAGCAAGATCCAGCAGAGCCCACTCTTCCTGGCTGAAGACCACGGACACATCCTCCAAGACCACTGAGTCCTAAAATATTCAACACATTCCGCTTTACCAATATGTCATGTATTCCAAGGTGTGCAGAAAGGAAGAGTGAAGCTGATAATCCCAGAGAACTGAGAATTCAGAGCACTGGACATGAAATTCTGTGTTCTATCAAGGTCTACCCTAAGGTCCAGTCCTGGGCCTCAGCCCTACAAGAACTACATTCACTTCTTCACTGACTGCATCCTATGTCAAAGACTTACAGAACACTGAAATTATCCCCTCACAGTTTAGATGAGACCAAGTGAAGTCTTCTTCCTTTATCTTTATTGTCTAGAACAGTTAGAAAATATAAAAGGACTTAGACAAACGGTCTCATTCAGATCATCACTTCTGTGTAAACAATTACACTTCCTTCCATAAGACCCACCAGAACACTAAAAACACAGAGCACAGGCAGGATGTGGTGTTAAAAGCTGGGACACACAAAAGGATAGAAATGTTTCCTTTTCCCCCCACAACCACAGGAAGACTGAAGATATGTGCATATAAAACAGAAACATCAGGGCTTGAGCTGGCCACATTTTCTTAAAGTCTAGGAGAGCAGGAGGTGTCAGGTCCTAATACTGAAAAAACAAATATTCTTTGGGAGAAATGAATGTTTACATGTCAGTCACCGATGTTACAAGGACTCAGTTCTGTTCTCTGGTCATCCGGTCTGTCCCATTCAGACAGACAGGCAAAGGTTATAAATGTTTAAAAGTGAGCAGATGAGAGAAAGGAACTATGAGAATCGAGGTCTCTACACAATTTTCAGATTTCAAGACCTGATGCAATTATACCCCAAATATTAGCCATCATCCCCTCAACAAACATAAACAAACCAACACGCTCTCACACAGTCTGATATGATGAGATGACAAAGAGCAGCACTACTTCTGCAACAAACAGCAGGCTCTCGTGTTTGCTGATGGAGAAGAGGTTACGCTTTCCACTTTGTCATGTCTGCACAACATGCTGAACATGACCAGTCTTGAAGGTACACATGCAAACATTGTTGAATTGCCAAGTGTTTTGTATATGTAATTTTTACCACACACAAAAATTAACTTTTAAGTAAGTGGAAGTGGTGGCAGTTTCTGTATGAAATTGCTCATGAAATTTAGGAAACAGTGACACACACGAGCCCTCTACAGGCTCCACTCCAAAATTCGCTGACACTGGAACCCTCCTAAGTGGCTGCTGGAACTGTAAAATGGTACAACCACTATGGAAAACAGTATGGTGTTTACTTCAAAAGATAGAAAGAGAATACCATGTAATCCTACAATCCCACTACTGGGGTTACTAGAGAAATGAGAATGGTGACATGAATAGATACACATACACCTATGTTCAATACAATACTACTCACAATACTAAAACATGTCAACAACCTAAATGCCCATCAACAGAAGAAGAGATCAACTAACTACGGTCCATACACACAATGGAATACTACACAACCTTCAAGAACAATGATGGATCTGTGAAGCATCTCATCACATGGATCAACCTAGAGGATACTGTGCTGAGTGAAATTAGTCAATCACAAAAGGATAAATACTGTAACAAGACCACTATTATAAAAAGTAAAAAAAAAAAAATTTTTTTTTCACAGAAAAGAAATGATTTTTGATGGCTGCCAGTGGTGAGAGGAATAGGTCAAACCACTAACTAGGTACACAAAGCTAAGGGGGACAAACTTGTCTGAAAGCTTGTGAAACTGTGGTAGTTTGTGTGTTGATGTGAGGCTAGAGGCTATGCCACCACTGTTTCAAATGGCAGTAGAGTTACCCATGGTGGATATGTTTTAGCAGAGCTTCTACTGTAAGACAGACTCAGAAGAAAGAAGAGGTCATCCACTTCTCAAAGAACTAACCAGTGGAAACCTTATGAATCGCAGTGAAACACTGTCTGATGTATTAGTGGAACACTTTATGAACAGTCCTTAAGCATTATGTGATCTACTGCCAGAAGATGAGGCACTGGGTCAGAAGGCACCCAAAATATGACTGGGGAAGAACTGCCTATTCAAAGTAGAACTGACCTTAAATATGTGGATGAAATAAAGCTTTCAGGACCTCCATTAGCTGAAGGGGCACAACTCAAGATGAGAAGACACAGCTGAAAGAATCCATTAATAATCGGAACATGCAATGTACCAAGTATGAATCTAGGAAAACTGAAAGTTATCAAAACGTAATGGAACACATAAGATCGATATCCTAGGTATTAGTGAGATGAAATGGACTGGTTTTGCCATTTTGAATGAGACGATCTTATGACCTACTATACTGAGAACGACAAATTGAAGAAGAATGGTGTGGCACGCACCACCAGAAAGTATGTATCAAGATCTATCCTCATATATACTGGTATCAGTGATAGGATTATATCCATTTGCCTACAAGGAA